TAGCAGCCGTTTCTGATTGAGACCGTGACTTCTGCAGAGGATATGACTTCAGAGTGCCTGGCTCTGCCACCTGCTTTTTGTCACCACAGTCTAGCTGTTGCATGTTGTCTTCAAAGGAGGTTGAACCTGGCTACCAGTGCCATGGGTGGCTGCCTATTCCATCAATGCCACCCTCTTTGGAGCCATGGTGTATATCTAAGTTGGATACTAACCCAGGCCTGGCTCCAGCAAGCTAGTTCTGGATTAGTTTTTCTAACGCCTTCTGCTAAAACCAAGTATATTGCCTCAAGTTTCCTCATCCCAAAGGGAGAAGGTTGACTTCCCATCTCCATCCCCTGGGCACAGTCTCTGTCAAATTCTGGAAAATACAAAGTTTCAGGTGCATGCAGGCATGTAGTGGCATCAGTGTTGACAGTGTGTTGTGTCCAGGTGAAACCCCTTTGGTATCAGTAGAGCTTGTGGTCATGTACTTCAGAATCAGGGTCATGGTGATCATCAGGCTGCTGTGGATGTACAGTTGAAGCAGAGTAACAGCAAAAGGAGCAGAAAAAATGATGTGAAGAAGCATCAAAGAGATGCCTGCTTCCACCTACAAAGAAACACTGTTCTTTCATCTTGATTAAAGATCCTGCTCAGGGTAATCTGGGACTTTACCATCTCCCAAGAGAATTTCTGTAATCTGCATTGACAGCAAAAGTGAGCATCCTCACGCAGGACCTTGCTCCTCATCTGCTTCCAAGTCAGATCTGTTTTTGCCATCTCCCAGTTCGTATCCATGGCAAGGTCTTGGGTTTAGTTTGTGAAGTTGGTGAATCATTTATCAGCTACATCAGGATCTTCCTATCTACTTTTGACCCTCATATACTACCCTGTACGTACAGGGCATTGTCAACTAAACAAGGCCAAAGACACAGTTGGGAGCTGCAAGACATAAAGCATCCCTAGCTGGAAGTTTAGCTTTGGAATCAGTGGCTGGCAGAGGCAAGAGTGAAACGTTCAATCAAGAGGTTAAAATCTGCAGAATGGCAAGATGCTCTTGCCCTAAAACCTTGCTACTTGATAAATTCTCCCAGCCCTTCACTTCCTTGGTATCCTGGTCCAAACCTAATTGTTTTATTTCTTGCATAAAGGAGAGAAGTGCTTTGTTCATAATAAGCAGAGGTTTATTTACAGGGCAGGGCTCAAGGTGTGCTCCTGTCAGGGTGCAGATCATTGGGATCAGCCTAAGCTCCGTTTCTGTATTACTTCTCTCTCTCACATTTATCCTGCCTCAGCATCTTCTCTCAGGGTGTGCTAGCCAATATGAGCTTATTTTTTCTTTCTCCATTTGCCACATGGCTCCCTCTTCTCCTTCTCAAACAGCTTCAGCCCTCAACTTACTCTTCTGCAGCCTGTCATCCGCTACTATTACCCAGTTGTACACCTAGCACAGTAATATATTATAGTATTATAATCATAGTCATATATTCAGCCTGTGTGTGCATGTGTTTTCCCCTGCTCTGGGTGTTTACAAGATAACTGTGAGTTGAAGAGCAGTCTGGAAGACTGAAAATTGTTGGTAGACCACACAAAAAAATTTGACAGAAAGAAGACATCTTTCCTTTATCCAACTGGCAGCTTGTGATCTCTCAAAACAAAGTTTATTGCTAATTTATTGCTATAGTAGAAGAAAATGTAGAGTTCTACAATACATTAAAAAGGTAACAATTGTTAGATCCAAATGTTAGATGACAAGCATCTGATCACAAACTGAATAAGAGAAGTACAGAAGTTAAGCATTGAGTAACTGAAAGTCACTTTGTTCTTCAGCCAATTCAGTGTGGAGCAGCTCTGAAAAAAACTAAAGCAAAGTTTAAAAAAATCTCCACCATGCTGTTCACTTTTTTTTTAATTGAGCAGAATCATAAAATGGCAAATGTTGATTTATCATTCAGTAATTTATCAGATTATTTCCATAAATCCTTTGAACCACACTGAGATATTTGAAGATGTTGCATACAGAACTATAAAGCTAGAGGTTTAAATTAATGAGTCTTTCCCTTTTATTATTGTTGTTGTTATTATATTTTAGGACTTTTAAAAATGTATTTTATTGGCCCACTCTACAGAGCACCATATCCTGGATATGCTGAGCAGTTCATACTTTCATAAATAGAATATTCAGGAAGATTTTTAGATTTGAGTCCTTTTGGCCACTATTGACAAGAGGGTATGAGCAGGAACTTATATCTTGTTAAAGTTTTGCTTCCTCCTACACATCTACTTTGGAGCACGTCCTACAGCACCTCTGTCTTCAAAGGGTGGAGGAGGTTCAGCTCCTCTTTACAACCTGTCTGGAGAAACTCTACATGTTTCCATAGACAGATGAGTTGCAACCCCTTTCTTCTCCGAGAAGACTTGATCTCTGGGTAGTGTTCTCTGAACTTGATATGTTTGAGCAGGGTGGAGAGGCCACCACCTCTTTCCTCTGAAACAAAAAGGGAAGGAAAAGTTATCCCTTAATTTGTAGTTGGGTCACTTGTCCAGGATGGGAGTGACCTGAGTGTGGACTTCAGCTCTTGTTTTGCTAGGTGGAAGAAACAATGCTTCGTGGGATAACTCGGAGATTTGCTTAATGAGTGGAGAAAATACACCACTACTTGCTTTTCTTTGCTTCCTTTTGCATGCTTAGGTGGTTTCCTGCTCAGTCTTTTGGATTTTATAGGTCTGTTTGGAGGTTTCTGTGCAGCATGTGTCATATGTGGAAAGAAGAGCATCCAACTGAAGGCTGTGGGGGTCCAGGTGCCTCAACTCTGGTGTGAATTTAAATGATTTGCGCTCATGATGTGAATCCCAGCCTCATCCTCTAAAATGAAAAATTAGTTGGTGTGTTGTGATTTTAGCGTAAACCATCAACATAGTTAGGCGAGGTAACTGATGATTTAATCCCAGTGGCACGAAACAAATGGTTTTTGTGAAATGAGTCGCTTTCCCTGATCCAAGTTTCCTTGTTAGACCATTCCCTCTGCCATAAAAACCTTTGCTGCTTGTGCCAATGAATTAAATTAATCTTCTAAAACCTTTAGCACACTACCTGCGACATTACAACACTAAATATAAATAAATAAACCTACCACATGGTTCCCTGGTTTCAAACTTTGCAGATTCAGGGTTCACTAAGAAGTCATTTCTCTTTTTCCTTTAAAAGAAGATGGCCATATAGAATAATAGAGTTCTCTGTCTAGCATACTAACCCATCTGGAAAGAATTTAGTCTGCAATAATTGTGGGCATTTGATTTAGCTTTAAATCCCTGTAGGTAATTCAAATGTAAATTTATTGGGGTGAGTTTATCCCCAAACTGCCATTGGATCCAATCTTTCAGAGATTAATTTGGCCCACTTCACTAAAACTAGAGTCTGCATTGTTTCTGTTGCATCAGGATATTATTATGTGCTGTAATGTCTGTCATTATAAGCAGACCTTTACTAGAAATAAAGTCAATAAGAGACAATACAGGCAATCACTTGAATCACATTTATTTTCAGACTTTTAAAGATTAGTAGTTCTTAGGTTATGAATCTGTTTATAGATTGGTACCTAAATCGCTCAGACAACACCAGTTAATTCATTATTCTGTTATTCCGTACTCAATCTGAGAGAGTCTTTTCAGTTAAGTAAAATTCTTTGCATTTCACGTTCTGCTTCAGGGGAAAAAAAAGAAGTTTCAAGAGGCATTCGGCACATAATGTAAACAATGCCATCTGTCTTTTTCTTTGTAAAATCTTCTTTGGGATAGCTCCGATATGCCTACTGTTTTCAATCACTTAAAAGGCAGTAATTCAATTATATCATCCTCTATGTAGGAACTGCCATTGCTTTCAGTCCACTTCCAATCCTGACACAAGTAAATCACTTTGATAAGATCCCCTTTTTATTTATTTATTTATTTATTTTTTCTGAGGAGACAAGCATAAGTAATGATGCCAGTGATAGACCAAGGACAAAATGACCATAATGGGCTTTCTGTAGGAAAGGAAAACATGTGCCATTGTGATTTATTGTATCACTTGGAAAATGTTTTTCCTTAGAAATTCTGCAACAGCCACGCTCTCTGAGCGAAGGGCATTAGCGAGTATGAATGGCCAAATGGGAAATTCAGACAAAACCTTCACCAAGCAGCAGATTTAAACCGCTATTGCTACCTAGATTTCTTAAATGGGAACAGAAGGTCAAAGCCATTTTGGACATGTGGCTTGGTCATATTCATCTTTGGTATAATACCACCTACTTAAATGGAAACGCGATGGGAATGTTCAAGGTTGGATCTTCCTTACAAACTGCTTTGGCTTATCGTGCAGATATGCCTTCCTTCTATTTAAAAATTGTTTGGGTGACTTCACTGCTTCATACCACCAGGGAGGTGGGGTCCTGGCAGACACCTCTAACATCCCAGAATAGACATGGCACGAGATTGGTAGTGTCTGTAGACTTCCTGCTATGAACCGGCCATGGCTCTGATGCCGAGAGACCATGGTTAGAGCGGAGCTGTCTCTGGACACATCTATCTCTTGCCCCCAATTTCCGAAAAAATGAGAGAGCTACAGAGGAGGTGGTCAGGTGATGTGAAAGGAACTGGACCACAGGTGTCTCTTTGAAACCAGACTGATCATTCAGCACAAATAACTCCAGAACTTGTGTTTTCAAATTTGTGAAGGGTGCTGGTCTTACATTCACTGTCTGAGACCACATCCAGGAAACGCAGTGGGAAGTTCCCTCTTCTTTGCTGAAGAAGCAGTACCACACAGGTAAGAGGTGATCAGCAATGTTAAAACACCACAGGCCAAGTTTAGCATTTCCAGTGCCATGCTGTGAGGTAATCCTTAAGTAGTTTTGGAGAGTCTGTGTGAGAAAGCTGTGATGTGGATAGGGGAAAGGCAGTATGTTCACTGTGTTTAACCTAATGTGAATTAGGAGGCTGTTCAGGATGTTATTGATATGGTAGGTTGTTTCCTTTCACAGAGAAAGCGTGGAGAGCCTAATCCAAAAGCATTCCTATGCCCGATCTCCCATTCGAACCTATGGAGGAGAAGATGATCTCGGAGATGACAGCCAGGCAACCCAAAGCAGAGGTAGGAAAATGTGCTCATGAGGTAAACTGTGGTGACCTAGTTATGCTTGAGAATAGGAGAACCACAGTCAGTACTGTGGTATGCTGAAACATTTCTCTGGTGTGTCTCTCTGCCATGGAGTCCTGTAGTGAAGAAGACTACTTGTTACCTGATGGCTTTTCTGGACATCTGATATGCCCATGGCACTGGTGTGGTTGGCTAGTTCAGGAGGTAGCTTTAGAGATGTCTATGCAGCCTTTGCCATCAGAAGAGAACTATCTCTGCTTCCTCTTCAAGATGGCTGAAAAACAGGCGACTTACTTAATTACCGTGGTGATGAGAACAAACTAATACTCCTCATCCCTTGGCAGGACTTACTAGCAGGGACTTAGCACCATTTGTAAAGTATCTGTGGGTTACTCACCGGACAAATTGGATCTGTCATAATTTGCCACTGGAAACAGATCTCAGACCCGTCCCGTGGGTTCACTGACTGGTATAAACTTGTGTTGCGTTATACTTTGCATGTTGACTTCGTGACCTGCCTGATACGCAACAGCCACTTGAGGCACAGCAGTTCTATCTGCCTTCCAACTGGCAGTGCCCTTGTCTTGTCCTCTAACTTCGTACAGTGTTGCTAAGATAAGAGCATTATTTCTGGTCATAAGCTCTTTGGACCTGTGTGTGCAGGGAAAACACACTTATTTTTAACCATGAGTTGCTCTTCAACAAAATGTGATTAGGTGGGCTTGTTCATATCTGTCTGTTCTGAGAGCAGTTACATAGATTGTGGAGTTTCTGGAGCAACTGCTCAGCTGGTACGATGAGGCCATCCTTTCACGTACTCCTGGGGGATTACCTCGCTTCATGTCAGCTTAGATCCTAGGCCAGTTATTGTTGAAGACAGTGTTAAATTTTGCCTTGCCAGAGTTGCTCAGAGCAAGGCACCTTCTCTCCAAGAATGACATTTCTCCCTGGTAGGATGTCCTCCTTTGGGAGTGACAAAGTGAACAAGGTGAACCTCAGTATGAGAAGTAGCCCTTAAAGCCTGTCTCTTCTGAAGAGAAGCCTGAGGAAGGATAGGAGGAAAGAATAGTTTATTAGAATTAATTTTATGTATAATATATACAGGGTGCAGTTCTGCATTTGCTTACAATATGGCAAATGAGTAAGTGAGGAAGATGATGGGTTGTGGCAACCAACTTTTTTTTCTAATCTGGGAGCCATATGCTAGCACAGGACATGATTGTTCTGGGCAACCAGAGGCATGCACAGAGCATAAAACATATTGCTCTTGCAGACAAGTAACTGCTGCTGCCTTCACTTTGTTTTTAGGTCTGGTGTCCTTAAATAAGGAAATCTCCTCCAAGATTCAGGGAGAGAAATTGTGATCTTATTGAAACTCCACAAACATTTTCTTCTGAGGCATTTTTAAACTATCTTGCGTGCCAAATTGAGGGATGTGCTTCTGTAGATAAGAGAGTTGACAGCCAAATACAGACATGTTGCTGGGTGGTGTGTGTTTTAAGCACTATTATGCCTTGAGTGCCTCAGTATTACTAAAGCACATTTCCTTGGTGCTGGAAAATGTGGTATGTGAGGCTTTTTGGAGTACTATGTTGCAATTAGAGACCATTGTGGTTCCAGGAGGAAAGGTTGCTTAGGGAGGCTCCTCATGAGAATCATAGAACAGTTGAGGTTGGAAGGGACCTTTAAAGGTCATCTAGTCCAACCCCTCTGCCGTGGGCAAGGACATCTTCAACTAGATCAGGTTGATCAGAGCCCCATCCAGCCTGGTCTTGAATGTTTCCAGGGAGGGAGCTTCTACCACCTCTCGGGGCAACCTGTGCCAGTGTTTCATCACCCTCATTGTAAAAAATTTCTTCCTTGTATCTAGTCTAAATCTTCCCTCTTTTAGTTAAAAACCATCACCCCTTGTCCTATCACTATAGGCCCTGCTAAAAAGATTTTCCCATCTTTCTTTTACACCCTTTTAAAAATATTGAAAAGCCACAATAAGGTCACCCTGGAACCTTCTCTTCTCCAGGTTAAACAGCTCCAGCTATCTCAGCCTTTTGTCATGGGAGAGGTGTTCCAGCCCTCCGATCATTCATGAGAAGGAATTACATCCTTGATTCTGTGTAGAACAAAGAAAGCCTATCACCGCTCTTTATTTCTAATTACTTCAGCACCCATGCAGAGCATTCTTGGCCAATTTCAGCCATCTCAAGATGGAAGCAGTTAGCCTTCAGAAATATATTTATCACAAGAAGTCTGTTTCCAAATGAATTAACATATATGAAATATACAAATCCCATTAAAACTGCTTAACGCATAATGTCTGGGTGCTCCAGCATCCACACACAGGATTCATTCATTCCATTACCTGGAACAGAGCTCCATGTAAACCTTCCAGACAAATCCAGATTTGCATCCTGCTTTCCCTGTAGTGCAATAATGTTTGGATATCCCCTGATTAGTAAAGGATTTTACTCTGGTAAGTATAGTGTTATCCTTACAGTTTGGCTCTGGATCCTAATTTCCCAGCAGTTAGGGTTTGGTTCAGTGGTAGGGCCAGGATTTAGTTCAAGTTTGTTTCTGCTGCTGAGTCAACACAATTTCTTTTCCTGTTCCTGGGCCATATTACTTGATTCATTAACCAGAGAAGGAATTAATCAAGAGTAGCTGTCTTTCTGATTTGAGAATATATCCCTAAAGAGAGTTATGCTTTTTAAAATATAATAATTTGCTTTTTTTTTTCTTTCTATTGTTGTTTGTTTATAGTTTTGTTTTGAGTATGTGGCTACAATTGGTTAGTATACATAATTCCAATAAGTTTACCTTGACAGATAGATGTCTTCATATTTTTTTCTATTCACAATTTGGATGAACCTATCTTCCTAGAATCAAATTTATGAAATTAATACCTGATGTAAAATTTTTTGCAATACTAAATTATATTTTGTCAAATACTCTTGCCAGTAAATTTATTTCTTAAAGTAAGAAACATTTCCTCAATGGACAAAGTTGGACAAGAAAGAAAATACAGAAGGGACATGAGCTGAATTATTGTTTGAATAGGAATACAAATTAAGAGTTTATTTATAGGGTTTTATTGTATTCCCCATTTCTAGATATCAAACATCTGATGATGACCAGATGCATAGAGGAACTGCAGAGGTGAAGGGCAACATTGTCTCCAGATTATTTGAAAATGACCATGTATAATTATCCAAACAAATTATTGTTTGTTTCCAAAAAAAATCTACTGTCAAATAAGTAATTAGTCCTACTTTAAATAAACAGTTTTTCCTTTTTTTATGATGCTGCAATCTTCAGAGAAAAAGTGTTTTAAAGAGGTAGAAGATTTGTGAAAAGAATTTTTGGAACTTTTCAGATTAAAAAAATACCAAATATACCACTTCCATTTGATCAAAAGTAGCTAATTAACCTGAGAGCAAGTCTTTAATATTTTTGTGCATTTCACTTAAAACTCTGCATCTCTTACTATGATTTAGAGTTCATGTTGTTTCTTAGAGCAATGTACACAGTTGGAAAAATAAGAAATGTTTTGATATTTTAGAATTTTTTTGTTCTATATTTGGGATAAAGGTTGAGCAGAAAGATGCAGTACAGATGAGCTTTATTGGTGTGAAAAAGAAAAAAAAAGGCAAGCTTGTCGTGCAAATTACATTTTTCTGCATTTTTGCATTTTAGAAAAAAATAACCAGTTCTACTGAGGATCTGATGTAAAAAGCTTCAAGCATGTCTTCAAAACAGGGATGTAATGCAGTGAGATTCCACGTCAGAGTATATAAGCTTCAGTGTTTAGGGGCAGCATCACAAGGTTCTTCAGTGTTTAATACCAAAAATGTCCAGTGTGCAAAACTGATTTTACTGTTCAAGCCACTGCATCCAGCTTCTTAAAATGCAAATTTGCCTAAGATGTAGTGATAAAGGACAGCAGCTGGCAAATAATAATATAATGATATAAGGAGAGATAATTATTTAGGAATTATTTTCAATGACAACTTGTCATTAAAATAAGCCTTGCTGTGAAAGACTTTTTTTCTCCCTTTTTGCTGTTTTGCCAGCTTTGTGTGTCGCAGTCAGGCGTTCTTTCTCTTTGCTTTCAGGGTCAGCCTTTACGACATCTGATAACCTGTCTCTCAGTTCCTGGGTATCCTCCTCAACCAGTTTTCCTGGATTTCAACATCCACAGTCTTTGAGTGCCCTGGGTACCAGCACTGCATCCATAGCTACGCCCATTCCTCATCCAATCCAAGGATCTCTGCCTCCGTACAGCCGCCTGGGAATGCCTCTTACACCCTCTGCTATAGCCAGCTCCATGCAAGGTAGTGGCCCCACTTTCCCTTCCTTCCACATGCCTAGGTACCACCATTATTTTCAGCAGGGTCCCTACGCAGCTATCCAGGGACTGCGTCACTCCTCCGCAGTGATGACGCCGTTTGTATGACTGATGTAAGAAAGACAAGAGAAACACGAGATTTTTTTTTTTTTTTTTTTTTTTCAAAGTGCAAGTTTGGTATGAAAAATACAAAAGATCTTCCTGAAAGGCCTGTGGCAGGAGTGCTGAATTCATAGCAAACCAGCTGAGAACATGCATTCATGGTTATGGATTCCTGCGGTAAGGGATCACAAGAAGAGAACACGCAGCTCGGAGCTGCTCACAGATCTATGTGTGACACAGCCAAAATGGATCCCAAAGCTCCCAGGATTTTTGGTGGTGTGCAGCTTGTTCCAAAGGTGCATTATACCTAGCGGAAAGAGATTATGTTTATGCAGCAGTGTACAAATTAATTGTGTATAGATCTTTTTTTTTCATATGCTAGAAGAATTCTGAAAAAGGCAATACTCTTACTCATCTTCATCTCTTCTTGTGACTGAGGAGCATCTAAACAGAAAAATGTATTGCTATAACTTTGAGCATGTGTTAGGCTATCTCAGCACACATCTGCTGGGAATGGGACAAAGTGGAGAAGGCCACTGTCCTTTTAAAAAGACTGGCTTATACTCACCAAAAGCAGTATTTCTTAGTTGCTATTATAATCCCAAAGAGAAAATTATTGTCAAGTCTTTCTTTCTTTGTTTGTTTCTTTCACAAAACACTTAGTTCCAAAAAGAACTGTGTTACAGGACAGTAGCAGTAATGATATATTCTGTCCTTCAGTATAAAAAGAAGTTTGTCCGATATCCTAGGAGGAGAAATGTAACTGTCTATTAAGGTATGATGAAGGAAACTGTTGATTTGAGAAAATCTATTACTTAAAATTAGAAAATCTGTTACTTAAAATTAGAAAATCTATTACTTAAAATTAGAAGATATCACATCTTTAAATCAATGCTTGTTTGCTGCTGCACTTGCCACTGATGACCTGTTTCTAGCTGCAAATGTGTAGCAATTTAATCAAATTTCAGGCTAGATCAGTCTATAGGCTCTCTAGATCAAACTATAATCAATAGACTGGTATAAGATGAGCGGCATTGGAATATCCTTCTACTTGTTTTGGTTTTCTTGGGTTTGGTCATGGCTGTTATTATGCAAGCTCTCTGGCCAGGAAAATGAGGGTTGTACTGTCTGTTTTCCCATGTCCCAGTAGAACAGTGGAGCTGCCTTGGGAAAACATCAGTGCAGAACTTCATATCTAATTTTTTAAATTAATATCTGCCTTTTTTGAGTTAGTAATTAGGGTTCTCATTCAAAGTACTGTCCACTTTTTTTCTAGTATGTTATGTCTGATGCAACAGAGGCACTGTAGAGGTACAAGAAAAACTGTCCTCTCTGCAGAGAGCTAGCGTGAATCCTTTGCACTGCTGAAAAGAGTACCAGCATGGGGCTGGTTTTCTGCGTGGTGGGAGCTGGGATTTCACTGTAAATAAGAAGTCAACACAGAGTTTCTGTGCAGAGTTGCATCCAAGTTATAGATGGTAACACATCTACTGATAAAACATAACTACCAATCCGATCACATATATTAAAGATCTGCGTAGAGCTGGAACACAGAATGGAAAACAGACTTTTTTGGCACTATTCTCCTCTACTTTTGACCAGTATGTGTTGGTATTACGGGGTAAGAAGTGGAGTGCAGTACACTGAGTCACCTACCTCCCGTCTCTGCGAAGTGCAAGGCAAGTCATCTCCTTTTTCGTACCATTGCCTCATCTTAAATGCCCAATCACACAGAGCAATGCCAACCTCCAAGGCTTTTTCCAGTTTCTACTGTAGGCCAGCACTTGCATCCCACAGATAAGAGACATCTTGATGTATTTCCCAGTAGCTGAATTTAAAATCTTGTCAAATTGGCCATTTCAATCACCTAAGTTACCTGCGCTATTATTGTAATTTCCCTTTACCCACTGTTGGACCTGCGGGTAAAAAATTACCTGAGGCAATTTGCAACTTCTGTGCTTTGTATGTGAATGAAAATGAACTTCTATTTACAGTTGCTGGGCTCAGAGCTACTACAAGGAGTTCCATAAATGCATGTAATGAGGCAAGCTCTGCAGTACTTAAATGGTTGAAATTCAGACACTGAATTTGGCTTGATATATCCAGATACTAGATTTTGCTCCAGGCTATCAGATTCACCTGAACAATGCATGTTGCAGGGTTATTCCTGTTCATGACTTGTTTTGATATAAACTCTCTGTTTTTCAGGAAATTAGATGCTACTGTCCCCACAACAAAAAAATTCTTCAAGTACATACATGTTTCCACAGAAATGAGAATTTCAGGGGAGATTTGGAAGAAAATTTTAACCCATTTCCTTCAGTTGCTTGACTTCTGTTAGAGTTATATGAAGGCCCTATGACAACATGCACTAAAGCCTGTGGGGAAATGATTTATTTTATTTGGAGTTGGAGGGGGTATGGTTAGGTTCAGAATTCAGGCTCGTAGCTTTAATCCTGATAGTTTCATCAGGAACTGGTCAAGCAAGTTGGCAGCTTTCAGATGACACTAGAAATAAACTGATTTAGGTGTGCTTTACAAGTCACATAAAGACTGCTCATACATTAACTTGTCCTTCTTTCATGAAGCAAATTCAGAGAAATAAACTGGAAGATCTTTTTAGCCCAGTCCCAGTTGCTGTTCTGAAAATACCAATATTTGGCACGCAGAAATGCCCCTGATACTGTTTCAGAGAAAATTCTCCAGGTTCTTCCTAGAGAATGAAACTGGATTCTGACAACATCTTTTGCAAAAATTAGTAAATGAAAGACAAGTGCTTTTCACTGTGGATAAAATGTGAGTCATAGCTGAAAAAATATGGCAGTAGACTGTCCCTATATAAAAACATAAGGCCAACTTCTCATCCAAATTCTCTGTGATGAGTTTCATACTGTAGATGATGCAGAACTATCCGTCAGAATCCACAGCTTCATTTTTGAGTCAGACCAAGTCTCTCTGTGTGCTCACTCCTCCCCGCACTGCTACTGCATATGCTGCTCTCCAATGGTTTAATTCCTTTGCATCAGAAACCCACTGCGTTCCACATTCCATCATGGGCAGATCCCAAGAAAGGCAGCTTGTGAAGGCCTTCTCCAGAAATAAGGTCAATAGGCATGTCCAGTTCTCACCACCTCTTTGCCCTCCCAGTCCTACTTCCAAAACCCGTTGTGTAGAGTTGAGGTTGAAGGGATGAAGTTCACAGAGACCACAGGACACCCAACGAAGAGATCTTCTTGCCTCACAAGGTTTCTTCTCCCTGTCCCTCTCACCTTCCTGTGGGCAGTGGGCAGCATGGGAGTGATTCCAGGGATAAAATTCCTGTCCCACTGAATGAAGTCAGCTGCAAATTTATTGAGTGCAATGGAGATGGGATTTCATTCAACTTTCTTATCTGAAAATAAAGTCTAACTGTAAGAACAATGACTGTACCGACAGCAATGGTCTAGGAACTCTACAGAAAAGACTAAAACCCAACTACAAATCAGCTTTAGCACTGATTTCATAATTGGAAGAAAATGAATGTAAATTCATAATTAATTGGTTAAAAAGAGAAATTGCTTTTAAAAAAAAAATCTGTACTACTTTGAAAATAACTCAGTAATTTATTTAAGGAGTTGCTGTACTGCTGTCAAAATTATATCACTTTCAGGGCAGAACATCTGTTGCTGGTAGATGGTCTAGGAATGCCAAATATAATCTACAGTTTATTTTCCAATATAATTCACATTTTATATCCCATGAGATGTACTCTTCACCTTCATGAGCTCTCTTGGCTGAGCAAAGTGATGCTGGTTTATGTTGTTAGGGGTTTTTTTTTTTTGTTTTAAGAAGAGTGGAGAGAACATATCTGAATATGCTTTTCAAAGAGAATGATAAGATCATCCTCCAAAGTGTTACAAGTACTTGCGGGTGTTTTCTGGATTACACTTATCCATAGATAGGCAACAGCCTCAGGTCTTTAATCCAACAAAAGCATCCCAAAAACCAACAAAGCTGACTCGGTTGCATTTGTCCGATTTATTTATTTTTTTTTAATCTACTTTTGGAGCCCTGAGAGAAGCTAGACATAAAAACATTTAAAAATTGGCTGTTTGCTTTGCATTATTGCTTTATATGGCCTGAGGCACTGTCAAACATAGAAATTCAAAGCCCCTGGGTTTCAGTGGTACTCTTCTAGCTATAAACTGACAAACAAGCATAGACAAGTGGATAAAGGTACAGAGTTTCTAGTGGAAGTGCTTGTTCATGAGTTCAAAGCTAGTAAGTTATATGATAGCTTACATATTTGGTAGTATAATTTACAAAATGCAATTGCAAATTTTCTCCCAGAAGGCTTTATCCATGGAGGTCAGGACATTGCACAAGCACGTACACATAAGAAGATGTTGCTGCTTCCAACATCCAGCAAACACTAACCAACATTTGAAATTAATCTCTTTTAAACTGAAAACATTTGGGCTGGCAACTTGATTATGCATTACATCCTCTTTTATGTGTGTGTACTATAGGGAAACGGAAATATCCATGAAAATTGTTGCAAAAACTTGGGGAGCTTTCCAAAACCATAAGTTAATACAAATTGTGGTAATTTACCCCTAGATAAGGGGTAAAAGCAACAATGAGATCAGTTTAACACTCAGGGCTCCTTGTCTGGGAGGGAGTTGTGGCCAGAGCACTTACCATCTGCAGAGGGATGATGTTCACTCACTGCAAGATTAATTTTGGGTTTAGTGAGATCTTATTCTCACTGTTCCTTACAGAGCATTTTCTGCTGCAGGAGATGTGGTTTCTTTACTAACAGCTTACTTGCTGGTCAGAGGATTTATGTATTACTCTGTAATAAACTGTCCTTGCATATAGTCTCTAGTTTATCAAATGACAACTTCTTTTTCTTTATTTTATCTTTTTAAAAGAAAACTAAGTAGTGATTTAAGTAAACTCTGAAGTAACTTTTTATGATAGTTTAAGGACAAAAAATACAGTTTGCTGTATTTTACCTTTAGCAC